TTTATCAGCTCGCGCACATCAGCTATACAGGTGTTAATACTGAATGTTTAACATTATATTCATTGCATACATATACTTCGTAGTAGACATCCTTAACTCCTTTCTGCTGTCTGTTGTTCTGTTATTGGTGTTTCTTTGTTTGAATATGGCGCTTATCACATGCTGTGTGGTATCGGCGTTTGGTATTGGGGCATTTTAACGAGTACAAGTACGAGTACAGAAGACCAGTATCGGTATCGGTGCATCCCTAATATATATATACACTGAACAAAATTATAAACGCAACTTGTTTTTGCCCCCATTTTTCATGAGCTGAACTCAAAGATCTAAGACTTTTTCTATGTACACAAAAGGCCTATTTCTCTCAAATATTGTTCACAAATCTGTCTAAATCTGTGTTAGTGAGCACTTCTCCTTTGCCGAGACAATCCATCCACCTCACAGGTGTGGCATATCAAGATGCTGATTAGACAGCATGATTATTAAATAGGTGTGCCTTAGGCTAGCCACAAGAAAAGGCCACTCTAAAATGTGCAGTTTTATCACACAGCACAATGCCACAGATGTCGCAAGTTTTGAGGGAGCGTGCAATTTCATGTGAAAAAGAAATAACACCCTGTTGAATTCCATGGTTTTCCATATCACGACATAAAAAAAATCATCTGGTCCTTAACCTCAGATGAATAAAAGCACATGACGTATCACACCGGGTCACTATTTATTTAGCAAAAATAAACCCAATATGGAAAAGCGTTCCAGCCGTTCTGTTGTAGTGACTTTCATTGTATGAACAAAAAATACTGAGGTGTTTCTCAAATGATCTTCATTTATGTTCTATAGTTTATGTTAGGCTGTTATAGCCTAAACGTTTATGTGTATACAATTTTATGTTTAATCAAATAAAATATTTCTAAAGCTACTTTTTGTAATGTCTACTTCATGCTTTTCTTATTTAACGCAATAGTGGCTTTAAAGGGGACATCGGATGCCCATTTTCCACAAGTTGGTATGATTCTTTAGGGTCTTCATGAAATGTCTAACATACTTTGGTTAAAATTCCTCAATGGTCGTGTAAAACAACACCCTTTTTACCTTGTCAAAAACAGCTGTTCATGATTCTTTAGGGTCTTCATGAAATGTCTAACAAATTCCTCAATGGTCATGTAAAACAACACTCTTTCTACCTTGTCAAAAACAGCTCTGTTCACAGCGACCCATTTCGGCACGTGTCGTTAAATGATAAAAAGCAACTGCTCACCCCATCCCTCTCTTCCATGGGGCGTGTCGACATATGGCTAGGAGGTGGTTTTATTCAAATAGCTAACTATCTACATAGAAACTGGCTGCAAATTGAAACTGCTCGATTTTTCTTAATGTTTTAAAAAGCGCATTTTAAATTGCAAATCGTAAAAAAACACTCTGATGTGTCAAGCCATCAGAACCGAACCAAACCAAAAACCATGGTTAAAAAAAAACCACGGTATGCATTGATCTGTGGGTTTACTGTATTGTTGCATCCCTAGTAGCTACTGTAGCTCCAACAGTAGAGTTTGGGACTAGCAATGCCAAGGTCAATGGTTTGATTCCCAGGGAATGCATGAATTCAAAAAATCTAAAGCTAAATGCAATGCTAGTCATATGCCAAATGCATAAATGCTTAAATGTAATGAAGAGAGAGAGACAGAGCTGTTAAAAGACATACCTTGAGGCTTGACTCGTAGTCTGTGTTGACTTTAAACATCAGGCCAAGCCGCAGATGGATCTCCTTGGTTCTTGAGAAACTAGGGTCAATGTAAAGCACCTCCTGAAATGCCTTAATCGCCCTGTGGAAGACAAGAAACAGCAAAAGAAATCTCAAGGAAGGGACAAACTCATTTATGTATACAATGTGACTAATAATTAATGATTAACTTATAATTAACAATCAAAAAAATCTCTGAATTTAAAATGTGAAGTATGATTTGAAGCAACAAACAGCAAAACTGCCTGGAGCATGAGCTTCAACAGGAAAAGCTAGCAGCAGAAGCATAATTGCAATGGAAATACTAGTGAAACACTCAAGCTTCATGGTCGACCCTGTTGTAAGCCATCTACCTCTATTACATATGTATATATGACATTCAGATTTATAACAGACAGAGTAACACACACACATTGAATATTACACACACAATCTCCACCTCTGACAGAGATTGCAACACGTGGTCGGCTCACAGCAGTGGGTTTTGCTTGCTTATACAATGTTCGCTCAGAAAAACAGAGGGTGTTTTTGCTGAGCCACGGCCCACTGAACTCAATGGCCCCAATCCCCCTCCTCTTCCCTTCCCTCCAAACAGTCTTTTCTGCTCTCTCTGCAGAGCACTGCAGTGTGTGAGAGCTCTGCATAACAGAACGCAAAGATTTATCATCATTTTTTAATTCCCTGTAAATCACATAACTCTCACAAGAGCCAAAGCTATATGACAGGCAAATAAATATGCAAGAGTTCATTAGATCAATTAACATGATGACTGGCATTATAATTAAATTCGTTTTAATTCAATATTTATTACGAGTTTTGCGGGCTGGTCACGAATTTCCACAAATTTACCAATATTTCTTGTTTCTTTTCTCATATACTCACCATCTCATCTTTTAATTTCAAAGAGAATTATAAACGTTTACTTTCTTGTCATTCACTTTTAATCCCTGTTTCTGCATCTCTTACTGTGGTAAAAAAAAAAGAAAAAGAAAAAGAAAAAAGCTAATGACCATATACATTTTTACTTGCCAAAACGACAGATAGTATTGGTAGCCTAATCCTAATTATTTTATAGAAATATCTTCTCATGGGTTTCAGTCTTTATCTCTCGTCACATTCAATTTTAACACAGTTTGTGCTTGTTAGACAAAATAGGGCATGTCAAGTTTATTTGTGAGTCTTGGGGAACATGAAAGATATTGTTGCCACAAATTAAGAATTCGTTCTCACGATTTATTAATTTATTACATAATTGTAGTTGAATCATAGGTTCACTAGGGAACAAATTAATGAAATGGATCACACTGATTTTTATCGATGACTGCAGTTTTAATATTTTAATTATTTGCATATAATTCATTGTAGACCTTAAAAGTCCGTTTTTAAAAACATTTTAATTGAGGAGTAGGCTAAATATCTTTTGTTATCCTCACAGCGCGTCAGTTATGCGGTAATTATTGCGAGGCAAATTAATTGTCATTTTCATTTAATAATAAAAGTAACTTCACAATAATAATAATAGGCCTAATAAAAATAAGAATGTAACAGGCCTACATTAATGCCAAATCCTCTTAATATTGCCAATATCTCTGGCTATCGTTGATACAAGATCGTCATCTTTCGAGGCACCCCAGCAAAAGGAGGTTATCACAGGGCAGACAGCACGTTGCCTGTTACGCCGTTCGGGCTGTCTTGTTGAGTGCAGTGGCACTAAAACATTATATTTCACATTTTAAGCCCTTTTATTTTCCAAATATAATAGGATTGATTAGTCCAACAAATCGTTCAGTTTGTAATGCATACCGAAACAAAAGCCTCGTACCGAATGGTTCAATACGTTACACCCCTAATATATATAGGCTTTGCTTTTCTGACCATTTACAGGTGTCAGTTGCTTTGGAATATTGGGAAAAAACATGAAGATATGAGAGAAGAGATGGACTCTGACCTGTTCCCAATATTTGATGTTCAAAGACTTTGTATTGTTTCTATTTTAATGTACTTTTAAAGTTTGGATCACATCAAAAGCATATTTTGTACAGTGTGAATTATTTGCACAATAGAACTAGTCACCATCACTCACAGCCCTAACGACTCGCTCGCTTCTTTGTGTCTGCTGCAAGTGTTTTGCACATTCACACGTACCCCAAAACTACGCAGCTTGCTTAATCAACCATCAATTCGTTTTACTGATTAAATTATTATCGACAATTAATCAATCGTCGATTTACGAAGTCCCAATGCTGGTTAATTTTATTTCCAATTGCAAATATTCAGCATCAAGCATCAACATCCCACTCACTTGTTCTGCCAGTACCACTTACACAACACACAAACCAAAAATCTAAGCAAGTCAGGACAACTGATTTGCTAAGAGTACTGGAAGCTAGTAAACTAAATTTCATAAGTTATATGTAGTCCAAAACCAATGACACAACCAACCCAGCACGTAACCACATAGCTAATCAAAAAACAGTTGCTTTCTCTATCTCAAAACTCCACAAATAGAAAAATGAAAGGCAAGTAAGATTACTTTAACCACAAACTTTAGGATCACAAACTGTAAACAAAATCCGGCCAGATCATCTTATTATAGTATGGAAAATAATTACATATCTGCCTGGCTATACATCTCTCGGTCTCTCGACCTCTTTGGCCTTGAAGATCACAGAATGAGTGCGATTGGCAAGGGTGTGGACTAGAATGAGCGAGAGAATGAGAGAGAGACAGAGAGTGAAAATGGGAAGCATGTCATCTCAGTTTCCTGCTTGGGAATTGAAAGGCACAGCCTTTACCTCATCATTTACTAGCAAGCAAGAATCCATGACTGGGTCACATGCTCTAAAATCACTGCACACTGAAATTAATGATTTAAGTTACGGACAATAGGATTACTTGACCTACAGGACAAAAACGTGACAAAGATGTTTAGACTTTCAATGAGTAATCGAGTCAAGGACCTGAAAGCTATATGGGACCATAAAAAACAGAGAACAAATCAGAATGCTCCAGGTTGAATAATAGTTACACTACATCAACAGCATCTGTGACATTGTACATCACCATAGGAAAAAAACCATGCCTTTACACTAACTCACAAAAGAAGTCTATAGGGAAAGACAATATCCCAGAAAAAGTTCAATTATACAGTTTTAAAAGTACAAACCTTAACTTCACAAAAAGTAATATCATATGCTTTAGCATGACACTATGTAACAGAATTGCAAGCCAACCTTAACCTGTGCAATGATATCAACTATATCCATTAAGTAATTTTTACATGGCGCAAACACTAATCAAAAGGACGATTTAAAAAAGGATTTCTTAAAAAAATAAAAAATAAACATTTCACAATTAATGTAAGAGCTTTAACAAATACGAGCTTATCATCTGTGCTTTCAACCCCAACTACCTAAAACTGCAGCATATATTTTCATACCAAATGTTGAACGATGCAGATGGTTTATTTCTAACAGCTATCAACACGTCATTCCTTTTTAATCCAATATACACATCAATGTACTTCTATATATGCCAAGTTAATGCAAATATTCTTGCCACTTGAGCAAGCTGAAGATATCTACAGAGCATGTCTGAGGCATACCCTTATAAAACCAACATGGTATGCCTACCTTCTCTGTCCAGAATGGGCATCTGAGGGGGTGTGCTGCACTGCCCTAAGACAAGGAAAGAGGGGATCTCCAGTAGTAAATATCACAACATACCATCTGTACATTTATTTGCCAAATCAATACCAATATCCTATCAAATGTCATACGCTATACATAATATATAAAATTGACCTTAAACTACTAGGGAGGGAAAAAAAGTTATCTGATTCATGAATGAGAGAATGTGATGCTTTTCCCATAATCCTTTAAGACCCAACAGCCATTCAGTGACGGAACAAGATTACCAGCTGAACTAGGCCTGTCACAATAATCAATATATCGACTTATCGCGCAATATATGTACATGACCGCAATCATTTTTGGTGACGCAATATATCGCCCATTATATTTACATTATGTTTTGTACATTCCACTTGCGCCTGTGTCTTTTGCAGCTTCTCGTACATAATGTGGTGTAGTCATGAGGTGCTAGTTCAAATTTTA